ATTGTGTTAGGGAAGTTTTCAGTCATTATTTCTCCAAATCAGTTCTCAATCCTTTTCTCTCATCTCCTTCTGGTTCCCCTATAACATGAATGTTGTTGTTTGATGTTGTCTCTTAAGCTATCCTCATTTTCCTAATTCTTTTTTCTTTTATCACTGTTCTGACTGTGTATGTGCCACCACCTTGTCTTCCAAATTGCTAATTCTGCCCTCTGCTTCATCTAGTCTGCCGTTGATTCCCTCTAATATGTTCTTGATTTCTGACCGGTTCTTTTTTATGGTTTCTCTCTCTTCGTTGAAGTTCTCGCCGAATTCATCTGTTCTCCCCCTAAGTATATTGTGCATCCTATAACTGGTGTTTGTTGTTCGTTTTGCTTATTTGTTAATCCTCATCTGAGGATATTTTTCCATTGATTTTTAGAGAGAGTGAAAGGTTTGGAGGGAGAGAGAGAGAGAAACACTGATGCAAGAGAGACACATCGATTGGTTGCCTTTCACGCAACCCCAACTGAGGTCAGGGATCAAACCTGCAACCCAGGTATGTGCCCTTGACTGGGAATTAAACCAGCAGGTCTGCAAGCTGATGCTCTAACCACTGGGCAAACCAGCCAAGGCTATAACCAGTGTTTTGAACTCTGTGTCTGGTAGATTGTCTCCATTTTTAGTTTTTGGTGTGTTTGTTCCTATTTTTTTCATTTGGGGCGTGTGGGTTTTATTTTGTTTTGTTTTGTCCCATTTGGCTGATTCTCTTTTGTTTTTCTCTGTCTATATTAGGTAGATCTGCTACATCTACCAGTCTTGACAGGTGGCCTTGTGTAGGGGATGTCCTGTGAGACCCAGTGGTGCACTCTCCCTGTTCACCTGAGCCTGTTGCTCCAAGCTTGTCCCCTGTGTGGGTTTTGTGTGCCCTTATGTTGTAGTTAAGCCTTGGTTGCTGTTGGCACGTCAGTGGATGGGACTGACACTCAGGCGGACTGGCTATGAGGGCTGGCTGTGACTACAGTGGACAAACTGTTGTACGGGACAACCCCTCAGAGCTGCAGTTGCTTTAGTGGGCCTTCGGTGCCAGCCAAGTCCACCTTTTGGTGTGTCATTTTTGGAGCTGTTTGGGTGGGAAATTGGTGTGGTCTGAGGCTGGGTGGGTCAGTTCTGGAGCTTCATAAAAAGGGCTTGGGGGCAGGCCAACACCAGCTATTTGTGCCCAGCTTGGAGCTGCCTGGTGAGTGCTATACGGTGATCTGAAGCCGGCTGCCAGTTGTGCTGCTTGGTGGTGCTTGGGAGAGGCTGTGCTGCCAACTGAGCTGGCTGCCATGAGGGCCAGGCTTGGGACCCTTTGGTGGGCACCACGATGTGAGCCGAGCCAGCTACCCCTGTGCTGGGTTTGTGGCCACTCAGTTGAAGCTATGCTCTAAGCCAACACTTAACATTAGGCTTGGGCCACCTGAAGGGAGTTACAGCGCACGTTGAGACGGTCGCCACTTGTGCCCGGCTTGGGGCTTCTCAGCAAGAGGTACAGGGCATGTTGAGGCCAACCACTGCTTGTGTGGGGTTTGTGGACCTTGGAGGGATTCTAGGGAGGTCCACGGCAAGAGCCCAGGAGGGCTGCTTGTGAGGAAAAGCTGTTGGAAGTGGCTCAGGTCAAGCACTTGAATTGGGTGGGGTGGGATGTCAGGGAATCAAGGGGGTGGGAGGGGGTGGTTAGCAGGTGTTAGCCAGGTCAACGAAGACTCAGATACTGCATCTGCCAGAGCCTGCACCTGCCACCTGGGTCGGGGAGGGCTCATCAAAGGAGCAGCGGCACCGGCCCCCCTTCCCTCCTGGGAGAGAGGCGCCCTGACCCAAATAAATAAAATCAGAAATGAAAGAGGAGAAGTAGCAACTGGCTCCAAAGAAATGCAAAATATTGTAAATATTATGCCAACAAATTGGACAGTGTGGATGAAATGGATAAATTCCTAGAAACTTACAATCTTACAAAACTGAATCAGGAGGAATCTGAGAGTCTGAATAGACAGATTACAACTAGTGAAATTGGAGTAGTAATTAAAAAAAAACTGCAACAAACAAAAGTCCTGGACTGGATGGCTTCACGGGTGAATTTCACCAAACAGTCAAAGAACTAACACCTATTCTTCTCCAACTATTCCAAAAAATTCAAGAGGAGGGAAGACTCCCAAGCTCTTTTTTCAAGGCCAGCATTATCCTAATTGCAAAACCAGATAAAGACACTACAAAGAAAGAAAATTATAGACTAATTTCTCTGATGAACATAGATACTAAAATCCTCAACAGAATAGTAGCAAACCAGATCCAGCAATGCATTAGAAAGATTATACACATGACCAAGTAGGGTTTACTCTAGGGATGCAAGGCTGGTACAATATCTGCAAATCAGTAAATGTGATACACCACATAAACAAAATGAAGGGTAAAAACCACACGGTCATATCAATAGATGCAGAAAAAGCATTTGATGCAATTCAGCACCATTTGTATTGATCAAAACTTTCAGCAACGTGGGAATAGAGGGAACATATCTCAACATAATAAAGGCCATATATGACAAACCTACAGCCAATATCATACTCAATGGGTAAAAACTATTAGCATTTCCCTTAGGATCTGGAACAAGGCAGGGAAATGCTTTTACCACCTGTATTCAACATAGTACTAGAAGTCCTAGCCATAGCAATCAGACAAGAAGAAGAAATAAAAGGCATCCAAATTGGAAAGGAAGAAGTAAAACTGGCATTATTTGCAGATGGCATGATACTGTATATAGAGAACTCTAAAGAGTCCACCAAAAAATTACTAGAACTGATAAATGAATTCCATAAAGTAGCAGGATACAAAATAAATATCCCGAAATCAGTTGCATTTTTATGCACCAATAACGAACTATCAGAAAGGGAAACTAAGAAAACAGTTCCATTCACAGTCGCTTCAAAACGAATAAAATACCTAGGAATAAATTTAACCAAGGATGTAAAAAACCTATACTTGGAAAATTAAAAACACTGAAGAAAGAAAGTGAAGAAGATACAAATAAAGTGGAAGCATAAACTGTGTTTATGGATAGAAAGAATTAACATCATTAAAATGTCCATATTACTCAAAGCAATCTATAGATTCAACGTAATTCCTTTCAAGATACCAATGCCATATTTCACAGAACTAGAACAACTATTCCAAAAATGTATATGGAACCACAAAAGACACTGAATAGCAACAGCAATCTTGAGAAAGAAGAACAAATTTGGGGGAATCCTGCTACCTGATATCAAACTATACTACTAAACCATAGTAATCAAAACAGCATGGTACTGGCATAAAAACAGACATATTGATCAATGGAACAAAATAGAGAGCCCAGAAATCCATACCTTTATAACCAGTAACTGACAAAGGAGATAAAAACAGACAGTGGGGTAAAGATAGTCTATTCAATAAATGGGGTTGGAATATTGCACAGATACGTACAAAAAAATGAAACCATCCACAGAATAAACTCATCGTGGATTAAAGATTTAAATGTTAGACTCGAAACCGTAAAAATTCTAGAAGAAAATATGGGTAGGAAAATCTTGGACATTTCTGGTAATATTTTTTCTGATCTCTTTCCTCGGACAAGGGAAACAAAAGAAAAAATAAATGGGACTACATCAGACTAAAAAGTTTTTGCACAGCAAAGGAAACCATCAACAAAATGAAAAGACCACCCACTGAATAGGAGAACATACCAATACATATCATAAGGGGTTAGTATCCAAAATTTATAAGGAACTTAAAACTCAACCCCAGAAAAACAATCCAATTAAAAAATGGGCAAAGGACCTGACTAGACATGTTTCCAAAAAGGACATCCAGATGGCCAATAGGCATATGGAAAGATGTTCCATGTCACCAATCATCAAAGAAATGCAAATTAAAACCACAATGAGATACTGCCTCACACCTGTCGGAATGGCTATCACCAATAAGTCAGCGAGCAATAAATGCTGGCGAGGGTGTGGAGAAAAGGGAACCCTCATGCACTGCTGGTGGGAATGCAGACTGGTGCAGCCACTGTGGAAAGCAGTATGGAGTTACCTCAAAAAATTCCAAATGGAACTGCCTTACGACCCAGCGATTCCACCTCTGGGAATTTATCCCGAGTAACTCCAAACACGAATTCGAAAGAGGAGATGCATTCCTGTATCCACTGCAGCGTTACTGACAATAGCCACGATTTGGAAACAGCACAAGCGTCCACCAGGAGATGCGTGGATAAAGAAGCTGTGGTACACGTACACAATAGAATAGTTTCAGGTGTACAACATAGTGATTAGACGTTTATATAATTTCCGAAGTGATTCCCCAGATAAGTCTGGTACCCATCTGACGCTGTACCTAGTTATTAAAACATTATTGACTATGTTCCCTGTGCTGTACTTCACATTCCCATGACTGTTTCTTTCCTTGGACATTCATATTTAATCCCTTCCCCTTTTCACCCAGCGCTCTCAACTTCCCTGCGACCTGACGGCCATCAGTCGGTCTGTTCTGTGCATCCATGAGTCTGTTTTGTTTATAGGTTCCATTTTGTTTTGTAGGTTCCAGATCTAAGGGAAGCCACATGGCATGTGTCTGTGTCGGTCTGATGTGTTTCTCTTCAGATACGACGATGCCAAGCCCCTTTCTCAGCCGTCTCCGGGAGCGGGAGAAGAGCTGATCTCTTAGGGGCTGAAGAAGGAGAGAAAACCTGAGTCACAACTGCCCCGGCCCAGGAGCAGTTATCAGTATCATTGCTAAGGGGGAGCAGAACTAAGGGCCCCAGAGCTGCGTTACCGGGAAGAACGGAAGCCCTTTCCGGGCTCAGTTTGCCTGGGGGGGAGGGGGAGGGGATGGATGGAAGAGGGGGCAGCCATGAGGCAGAACAGCTCCAACCTCCCTCTGGTTGCTTTGAGTTCAGCGGACAGTGGTGTCTCCTCTCTCTCACTGTCTCCTCTCCTCTTGCTTCCCAGTCTCATCAGACCAGATCGAGCAGCTCCACCGGAGGTTTAAGCAGCTGAGCGGAGACCAGCCCACCATTCGGTAAGACTGGCCGCGGGGGCTGGGCTGGGCAGGTCCGTGGCTCGTGGGGGATTTCCTTCCACCGCCTTCTTTCCGTGAGCGCAGGGTGACTCTGGAAGAGCCCCTGGGCTGCCCATCTCCCGTGGTGTCCATTCCCGTGGTCCCTTCTCGATAAGATGTTCTCCACTAGGAGGGGGAGAGCCACACCTGCTTCTATCAGGATCAGAAAATTGTATCTTGAGTGAAGACAGGGGGCGGGTTGAAGAGCTGGCCAGCCACCCCCACCTCACCCCTCAAATACGTCGCGCCCCTGGGCTCCCGTGCTTGGAATCGAGGACGTGTTCGAGGCCAGGCTCCTGCCATTGTCAGGCGCGGCCAGGTCTGGGGCTCAGGCGTCACGAGGCCCCTCTCTGATGTTTCCTCGGGTTGTTCTGACCTCGGTTAAGGTGGCAGGTGGCAGCCTCAGCTTTGTGTCTGGGCAGCTGCCGTCCTACGTGGCATTTTTGACTCTCACCTTTTAGAAGCTGTGCAGGTGTTTTGTGAGGACAAAAGGAACCGTAGGGGAGTGAGTTTAGTCTCACCTGGAGGTTGGGACTTTCGGAATGAGTGTAAGGAGAGGCCTGGTGAACAGGTTGACCCGCGTGGGTGAGGAAGGTCCGAGCTGAACCACAGCCAAGCAGTTTCCGACGTGCAGTGAATCCCGTTCTACCAGAAACTTCTGACAGGGTGCTCCCTAAATTAAACATCCAGGGCCTTCAGGTGACAGGGCTGGGACTTCTAAACCACACCTTTTAGTAATCCAGAGAAACTTCTTAGTATGCAGACTTTGGTTTCACTAAGCTTTATGGAAACTGACAGGTCAATATCTGAGTTCTCTTGTTCTCCCAAAGGCACGTGGTTGACCCAGGGGGCTGCATCTCAAAGCCTTGGTCCGCAGAGCTTGGATGCTGGTGGTCCCCGGTCCCGTGGCCGCCCGGCTCAATTTGATTGTATCCAAGGCCGATGTAAAGACACTCAGGACTTGCCCCTCTGATCCCATACTTCTCACTCAGCCCAGTGGAGAGAGCTGAGCCCCTCCCCCCAGAGGTCACCTGTTTCTCACTGGCTCCGATGACCAAACACAATGGCTTGGGGCAGAAATGCAAACTGGTTTTCCCCCAGAGCTGTGAGGGATGGGGCGGGGTCACCAGCCAGGGGCAGGAGGGTGGGAAGGGGAGAGCGGGCTTCCCCAGGCCAAGGTCAGCCTCCTGTGGCCGTGGGCTGAGGGGTGGGTGCCCGGTGGTAACAGTTCAGCTGGGCGCCTTGAGGTCTGGTGACATCTTTGTGCCCTGGATATCGGACATGGAAGTGTCAGGGCCCCTTTCTCGAGATAACTTTCTGGCAACTGCACCCCCAGCCCTGTAACAAACCGCTTTGGGGTTTCTCGCTGTTATGGGTCTGGGGGTCGGAGGTCTTGGCTGGTAAGAGGCTTCGGGTCCAAATTCTACATGGTTGCTTTTTCAGACTTGGGGGAAGCAGAGGCAAAAACCCAGCCTGGGGAAGCACGTCGTGTTGGACTCTTCTGTCTCATGGGCTGTGTGGCTGTGGGTTAGTTGCTCTGTGTCTCTGAGCCTGTCTCATCTGGAAGGTGAGCATGCTCGTTTGGGTTGGATTTGAGCGTTAAAGACGAGCAGATGCGTGCTGGACACTTCCGCTCTGAGCTGGGCCGGTTGGCATTGGCAGACGGGGCTGCCGTCGTTCTACCCGCTCATGAGGTGAGGTCCCACCTTGAGGTGCCCAGGTGTGTTCTTCTATTGCTGGGGTGGGGGTGGGGGTGGGGAGCACAGACGCTCTGGGAAGAGGAGGCTGGTTGCCCCTCTTACTGTGAGTTTCCAGCATCTGAGTCCTGACTGTGCAGAAGCAGCCTCCCAGGGGCCTTTGCAAAGACTAACTGAAACCCGGCGTCCGTTCTACGCCCGTTCTTCCCAACTTGTACGTGTGCCTGGAGAGCCCGTTGGGGTGCCGACCAGGGCTGGGGGTGGGGGCAGCAGGACAGACTTTCCTGCTAAGAGCCAACAGATGTGTTGGATTTAGTCAGAGGAGGTGTGAAATGCCCGACAGACAGACAGACAGACAGACGGCCGGGGCCAGGTGGCAGGAGACGGGGTGGCGTTCAGGCTGGCTGCGGGGGGACGCGTTTGCTGAGCACTTACGATGCCCCGGGCGCCGCCCTCGCCACACCAGGCTCCATGACCCCGTGCAGTCGAGGGACTTGCGGCATTTGCACTGGTTGGAAATGCAGAGTCTCGGGCCCCACCCCAGCTCCAGTGAAGCCAAACCTGCATTCCAGCGAGATTCCTGGGCGCATGAATGGCTGCGTGAGTGAGAAGTGAGGAGTGGTGAGCATGGGCACTAGAGAGTCCTCTGTGTCTGTAAAGCTTGGCATAGATGAGACCCACGACTGACAGCATGCCCTTCAGAGGGTCGCCCAAATCTAGTACAAGAAGTACCTGGGCCCGGCTCGTGGGGACTGCTCACAAGTGTGAGCTCCTGTCATCTGAGTATGCCCCGCCCAGCTGGCGCGCGTCATTCCAGGTCCCAGGAAACCCCACAGGAAGCAGTGGTGGGACCTGTTCTCCCCGCTTTGCCGATGGCTCAGAGAGGCCGTGATCTGGCCAGGGTCGCCCAGTCGTAAGTTGGAGGAGTCGGGATTTGAACTCAGTGCCGGGACCTTGTTGTGAGGAAGCTGCGACTTGTGCGTGACTTCTGAGGACCTCGGTCTCCCTGTTCGGCCATCTAGGACCATCTGCTCTTAATGTCCTGGGCGGGGTGTGTGGTTCTCTCCGTCGCAGCCCCCCTCCCTGTCTGCCGTCGGTGCTGGGAGGTTAGTGTGTGTGCACCCCGAGAGCCCCAGCAGCCTGCAGGAAGGAGGTGCACTGACCACAGCGTCTTATGCAAATGGGCCTGCAGGAAGGGCCTGCTCCAGGCGCTCAGAACCGCTTTGCCTATTGGTTCCCTGGGCTTTCCAGTGTGTCTTCCCGGGCAGAGGAATGAGGAGCTAGCTGTGGGCCGTAGTCTGGTCTCCAGTGCTGTCCCCACTCTGCCAAGGGCCTCCTGAGTGACCTCAGGCTGGGTCTTCGACCTCTCTGATCCCTGGGCACAGCCAAGGGGGCCGGCTTTGGAGCAGGGGAGGATTCATATTTCGTGTTTGGAAACCTGATGGTGGAAGCCGGCCAGGTCGTGGGACATTCTGGCCCACAAGAGAGGCGTTGGCTGGGGATCCCCGAGTGTGGCCCCCGGACCCTCAGTCTGTGAGGCATGGGGAAGCAGTTCCCTCGCACCCTCCCACAGGGGTTATTTGAATACCTCAACTGCAGAAGTTCCCTTAAAAAGGGACCATTCAAACCTGTAGTCTTTGTACATAGACAGGTAAGGTTTGCAAGTTGCATTTAAAAGCTTAACAGAGAACTGGGCTTTGGAGTTTGTGAGTTGAATGTAGCTTAAAAAACTCAAACGAGGTAAAGCTGCCATAGTTGATTTTAATTGTTAACCCACTGTTCCCTACCCATGTTCCACGGGGTGACTTTCTAAAAATCATGTAAGGACATCTGGGGGTGGAGTCTACACTGCGGCATCAGGGCCTCACTCTGGGTTCCTTAGAAAGCCTAGCACCTAATTTTTTAAAAAATGCATCATGTTGCATTCTTTTTCTTTCAGAGGGCCCCCCCCAAATTATATGTTCCAGGACCCCCCAAATCCAAACGCACCCTTGTCACAAAACGCTGAGTTCTGAGGCCTTCTGGCAGAATGAAGGAAATGGTCATCTGCCGTGTTTACTGAGCACCTACTAGGCAAAGCCTTCTCTCTTGTCCTCCCAAGCATGTCTCCTGGCAGGGAGGACCCTCCGTGAGTAAACCCACTGAGAGACTAGCTGGAGGCCATGAAGAAGAGGCATCTTGTGTCCCTTTCGCTGGGCCCTTGACCGGGTGGCTGTGTTAAACAGCAACATTTCTCTTCCAGACAGCGCCCTGGCAGGCTCCCCAGCACCCAGAAATAGATGCAGTGGGCCCTTCAGTGTGGCGATGGAGGCCAGGAGGGACCTGATTAGATAGCGCCGCATCACAAAAATATTTTTAGGCTCATTAAGCCCCCGAAACATGGAGTGATTCCTGGGATAAAGGTGACCAGATGCGCACGGGGGAGGAGGGGGTGGCGTTTTGCTGACCGCTGCCCACGCAGAGCGCACACCAGGGCACCAGCCAGAGCCACCCCTCCGACGCCTGTCTTGCGTTCCTTGGCCCTGCTTACCATTGCTTCACCGAGTCAGAGTCCGCCCAGGGCGCACCCCACCAACGGGAAACCCAGCTGCCATTGGCTGGGTGCTAGTGTTCGCCAGGCACGGCCTGAAGGCTCACGGGGTGGTCTCAAGGGTCTCGGGAATCCTCCGACGTTCACGTCATCACCCCAATTTGCAGAGGAAGAAACGGAGGCCAGAGAGGCCGAGGTCTGGCAGCAGAACTGGCTGGCTGGCTGCCGTGGTGATCACTTCCTTTTCCCCAGACTCCGTCACTTTGTAACCGAGTCGCTTTGCTCTTAACCTGTCAGAGAGTGAAAACTGACCATCTTCGGAGGATGACTCACCACAGTGAAAGGGCGGAGGCCCCGCCGGAGCGGCAGGCTGGTTCACTGTCGGGATTTAACGAGCTCCCGGAGTTAAAGCTGCAGCTAGGATGCCGCGTGTTTGTTTACAAAGGTCGCGTGTAGAGCTGCCCCAGAAACAGCGCCTCCTGGGCCTCCACCCCGCTCAGGGGAAGGTGTGCGGGCCGTGTGAGGAGCCACCGGTCGTTTTGGTGTGAAAGGGTGTCCGGGTGTCCCCGAAGCAGAAGGATGCTTTCTGAGTGGCCTTGGATGTGTTAGTGGGCACATGCGTCAACTTTTTTTCAACCAAGGTCCTGTTCCCAGGGTTCGTCCTGCCTCCATCTGTGCGTTCAGACGCAGGCCGTGGCTCTGAGGATGCGGTGGCGAGGGGGTGAGGCTCCCTC